GGCGGAGCCGCCAGCCCCCGCCCCGTCGCGGAGGGGAGGGACGGACCCGCCCGGGAAACCTCCCCGGGCGGAGAGGGACCGGGGGGGTCAGCAAAACGCTCCCCACAGCAGCCTCCCAGCACCCAAACTCCTTTTTTTTTTTCCGCCTAAAACAGGTCCGCCCGGGAGAGCGGGACTTCCAGACCTCGGGGCGGTGGTTTCACGCTTAAAATGGCCGGGGATACCCCTGCTCCCCCGGCAGCACCCCCGAATTCGCGTTTGCAGCAGCACAACCACACGGATTTTAACTGAAAAGTTTAATGCCGACAGTCCCATTTAGGTGGGTGCTGCCAGGAAACTAAGCGCTAGGCACGACCCCCGGGAAACCAGTCCGTCTGAGGAGCGGGGAACTGCCAGACTGATCCGGGCACATCGCTTTTCCTAAACGCAAGGGCGATCAGAAAACCAGCACTGCTTAAAGGGCAAAGCATTCCACATTCAAGCAGCTTGACAGTAATTTAAGGAAGATAAGTATCCCTTCCTTACTAGGGCTAAAGGAAAGCTCTCAAGTGTTTTCAATTCCTTTGAAAACCTTTGATCTTTATGGGCGTTGTATTATAAAAATAATAAAATTTTTAAACTTCAAAAAAAAAAAATCCTGTAACTGAAACCAAATGTTGCATCGATAAAGGTTTTGCGCTTAAGAGTAATATAAAAACCACCAAAAGTTTTTTAAAAATGCATTTAGAATATTGGTCCCATCAGCTACTGACAATATAGTGAAGGTGAGAGAGCAAGTAGCATTGGTGTAAACAAGATGTCAGGCCCACCAGATAATTCCTGTTTGTTTTTTTTGCCACTGTTGTTACTCATTTTTAACTGGACTTTGTCTGGTTTTGCATTTCAAAATATGAGAAACCGAGCTACATCTGAATATCATACAGAAGTGTTTTACAGTCCATTTAAACAACTTCTGTTTAAATTGCCTTTTAACTGTACTACTTATTTGTACTTTTAGTTCTCCTCATGAGACAATTTGCCTTAAGCTCCAGAAACATTAAATCTGAACTCAAAAGGTACCACAATACAAACACCTTCCAGAGTGAAGCATGGGATGGATCCTCTGGACCCAACACTTTTCACAATTCATGATCTGCCATAGGGATGCCAAATGGGTACCTACAAGCTACAAATTGCTGTTTACTTCAATAGATTCAATACCAAAGATTCAATAGAGAATTGCTTTAATTATACTAAAGAATGAATTGATGTCAATGGTAAATGCTATTACCTAAACTCTACCCTCTCCACAGCCAACTCTTCAACAATGGGTAAAGAAGAAAATATGCTCGACTCTTTGGGATATGGCAAAACCACCTGTTTGTCTTCACTTCAAGAAATTATAATGATCAAACTAACTAGAAATGTTGCCATCCTACTTCTGGAAGCATTATGACAGCTTTAATTTGCCTGACCTAAATCATCACTGCAAGACAAACAGAGGTTAAGCCTGTGACAGATGAACATGACAATGATTCCAGAAGTCTGGGTCCTGTTTCTTCCCATTTCACACAATGTGCAAAGCGTTTTCAGTAAAAATGCCAGCTCCTCTGCAATTGTGTGAAAGACCTTCAGTTTCACGTCTGAAACAGCAGTGACATGGGACTTTGGACACAAGTTGCGCAATAATGTATAAAGTGTTCACACAAAGTTCCCATTAAAGTTTATGGGACTCAAATGCAAGTTTATATTCTCAGATCCTATCTACTGACAGTCTGCTTGACTTAATGCAAATTGTTTCTATCCTCTTCACTTTCCTCAAAAGCAGCAGAGAGGAACATCAGCTACGCTTACAAAGCATACTAGAAATTAAGCTTGTCATCACACCCTGCAGACAGATATAGTCTACAAAGATTAAAATTTCGAGTATGGAGTAGACCAATTACAAGCAAGTCAGATCACAGCGTGCTCAAAGAACCTTAATTCTACTTTTTAATGCAGTGATCAGAGAAACTACAGTGAAATTTGTGTGGTATTGAGCCATCTAGTGGTTACTTTAAAAACAAAGGACTCTCTTCAGAAATAGAAACAACTGGTTGGATGTAGGAATTCAGAGAACATAAACGATACAGCAGTGGAAAGGAATACATCTGCACCACTTCGAGTTCGCTCTATATCCTGAATACAAGACTGAACGTCCTCCAAAGACAACCATCTATCCTGGGTTATAAATGACCTGCCAGTGACATTTTACCAACAAATCTTTTCATGACATGGAAGTTGCTGAGGTTGCAAACTGGAACAATTATTGCTTTTGCGGAATTGTCAGTCATACTGATAGAAAGAGTTTTATTCAGGTGGGATGGGGGCACTGAAAATAAGGCAAGCGACAAAAGATACTGAAGAATATTTATCACTGTCATAGAAGCGTGGCTTGCAAATCAGTACACCTGCCATGTATCACCAAGTCTGTTCCTTGCTTTCCCACAAAACCACATCATAGCCATAATAAACAGTAATTTAAAACTAGTTTAATTTCTTGGTTAGAACTCCTATGGAAGCATAAGCTGGGACCTAAAACTTTGCACTGTTCTTGTAATTACAGAATTTTATCACAAAATAGAACCCAAGAAACTGAGCTCTTGAAATTGAACTCTTTTATTGAGGTTTTATAACAACATACAAAATACACTGTATTCTCAAGATGCTTAGAAAAATTAGTAGACACTATAGTAAGTGCACAAAAAAAAAATCAAAACAAATTTGCATTGAAGATAAAGGCTCCAAGGGAATCTTGTCCAACCATTTCAAAAAGTAACTCCTTAACAGTCTTCTCAGTAGTCCATCTTCCTATGAGCTACTTATTGTCCTTTTGGTTTTTTTAATAGTTGGAGAACTGTTACATAAGAACAGAAACATAACTACCTACAAAGTCCCTGTTGGATTAAAGCACAACTATGCTGTAGTTTTCACAAAAGACTGTAAAAAGGTCGTTCTTTGAATAGTCATCCTATTTGAGGAAAACGATTTGTTAGGTTAAAGATAAGCCAAAATCAAATCCAGCAGTATTGCAGATGCTGTCAGAATACACTTCTTTTTGCCATTCTCCCCATTTCAGTATTTGGTCTGCCAGCTCCTCCAAGTCCATCACGAGCAACTCTGTTTTTGTCAAAGCAGTGTCCTGAAATAGAAAAGAGTTGGATTTCATCTCTATACATCCTTTCAGTCGAACAGGACATAAAAATAACTTAAAGAACGAAACAGTAACTGAATTCTTAATGCTGTAGGAGACAGACAGCTCATTTCTTTCGCTACTCACCATATTCTTCATGATGTTTGGTATCTGAGGCATGGTTCTTACGGTCTGCAAATGGCTTTCAAGTTTCTCAATGAAAGTCACAGCCTCATTCAACAACTCTACTATATACCTGTAACCAAGAAGGAGTCCCCTATTCAAAAGTTGTGCAAAACAATGAGGATCTAATAATTCCAAGCTCTTATTTCTTTCCCCTATGGGGAAAGCCCTCTTCTCCAGTTTTATGCAAGTTCCTAACCATCTAATTAATCCCTCCGCAATTACACTTCTTTAATGAGTCTCAGCAACAAGTAAGGCAGGAATTACAGAAGTTAATATGTACTCCGTAACTGGAGTAGGTTTTTAGATCATGAGAAAGACTGCATTTTTAAAGCATGCACTATGCTTGTCTGGGAATCATTCACACATTTATTCTGAGCAAGTCACAGTGGAAGAAAGACAACAAATGCTGAAGTAACAATTCTTACCTTTTGGGAACAATAATCAATCAAGCATTTAACACATTGTTTAAAAAAACACATCACAAATTATTCTGTAATCTTCCGAAGACTAATAACCTAAGCAAATATTCATAAAAATATGTATCACTACCTTCCTACGAATTTAGCAATGAGTAAACTGCTAGTTTTTAGCTAAGGTTCTGCTAGCATTTTTAATTTCTGTTCTTATTGATGGAAAAGTGAATGAAAGCATGTGATTTTTACTGCCTATTAATTCAATTTAATTTGGACTCATGCAGACAGAGAACAGTATTTTTCTATGCCTACCTGTGGAAAGCAGCGTCAATAGGCAGAGTCTCCTGACATCTGCTCATTACCAACCTCTTTCTAAGAGCCTTCTTCTCTTTCAGTACAGCTTCCAAGTGTCTGTTCATATCTTGCAAAATCTCGCATTTTTTGCCTATAAAATGAAATTGCAAAGTTGCACCTATTGTCCTGCTAAAACAAGAGCAACATTTCTTCCAGAGAAAGACAGAAAGAAAAAGTCCGATCTATTGCACTGGACAGTTTATACTCAAGAAAGATACCATTAAACAGAATGAATTTTTCTAGAGTGAGTAGGACTTAATATCAGAGTGCACCTTAAAGTCATAACACCTACTTTTTACAGATACAGCTCTGTTAATTGTTTTACTTTATCTATAAACTGCCTTTGAGATGAAGCTGATGACTTAAATTATACCATAGCACTGCAGTATTACAATAAACTTCACTAGCTTAACACAGTAGTAGCAAGCTAGAACGTTTTTAAGCATCCATCAAATCACAGTCGGAAAAATGTGAAATAATAGAGAAACAAATAAATATGCTCCCAAAATACTAAAATAAAAATCCAAGTAATCTTAGGGGCATACAAATGCAGCAAAAATACACCGAGTTACTGAAAAAGCAGCAAAGTAGCACACAGGCCAAGGGAAGCAAATCAGGTTACTGATGATCTCAGAACTCCTGCTGCTCTGCTGACCACAGGGAGATGACCACACCCACAACTTTTTTGGAGAATGAGTTAGACATGGAGCTTCTACTAAGACAGTAGAGGGTGCAAGTTCAAATAATATGGAAGCATTCTTTCGGGGCTAGTAAAACACCTGCCACCTCTAACAAGCTATCCAGTGGAGACAGCTGCAAAAACTTCTAGAAGTGCCATGTACTCAGATGAAATGATAATTTGCTGATAAAGCCATTTAATACTCCTGTTTTTTCTAAAGTACAACTGCACTTACCTAAGTAAAAAGGGTGAACAATATCTGCTACCTCCTTCTCCAACTGCAGAATTTCAGCTTTCAGTTTCTTCTACAATAACATCAAATGAAAACGCATTTTTAACATACGGTTGACTCTCTTGGGGTGGGGGAGGAAGTAGAAAGGGAGAAAGTGGGAGCATGGGGGAGGAGAACATGCATGAAAGAGCAACAGCATTTCCACGAGATGATGTTATTATGCTCTCTGGAGTGTTTGTACTACTAGGTGGGGCTTTTTTGGTCAACAGGAAAAGACTTTTAAAAAAACTAAACGATTTTGTGATTTATTGGGAATTTGTGCCAGAAAAGCCAGATCCTGCAGTTTATTCCTATACCACAGAAACTTATGTCTCCCACAATGTCATGTCAGTCTATATTCTACTAAAGAACCTCTCACAGTCCCAAGTTTCCTCCTTGTGGCAAAGACTAGTTTGTGTTGTGTTGGGTTTTTTTAGCTGTGGCAGAAGCGCTCTCAGGTGAAACTCCCAGCTTTAATTCTTCCCAGTGATAAACCAGCACAAGAGCAGCAGATACCTTCCTGTGGCTGAAAGAGTTGTGGTCATTTTGGCTAAACAACTGAAGACTGAGGAAAGTATAGAAAAGGATGACACATCAGTCTCTTGGGACACACAGAAAACTATTGCTTTTGTTTTCTTGATCACTGAGGACAAAAATAAACCTGCTTCACTCACAGCATACTGAACATCTGTCAGAGAGAGTGCTTTGTATGTGAAAGCTTCCAGCAAAGGAGGCTAAGTAGCCACCTTACTGGGAGCTGGAAACCATTCGTTCCATCTGCCTGTCAATACAGCATGATGACAGCTGTTTAACTCACTCTCCAAAAATTAAATGGTGAATTTGTCACACTGCTTTGCAGTAAGGCTTCGTAGCTGCTGGAGCCCACATTGTGTAATTTAATAAGCACAGTTTTGTGCCAGCAAACAAATGCTCAGAAAACATCATAAAATACAAGCCACCAGCCAGTTCAGGAAGTAGGAAATGACTGAGGTTACCTCTTGCTAACCAACAGCCGGTCTAGTTGCCTATAAAAAAAACCCATTTTCATGAATTGAAGACAACTTCAAATTCTTATTTGTTCTTCATTTTTTTCCAGAAAGCTTCAGGTAACACTTCAGTCAAAGACGCAGGCTGCTGCATCTTTCCAGTTATACCAAAACTTTTGTTTCATAATTTTGTTCTTTTCTTTGTAACAACTTAGTCCACTGGGGAGTAAGTGCCAACTATTAAATAGCTAAACTGTTTAAAAAACTGCAAAAAGCGAAACGATAGCACATGGCAGTCCAATACCTCCTCAGGTGCCACGTATTCTCTCTAAGTGTTGAGTGTACACTGGCAACAGTAAAGGCTGTACCTCAGTGATCTCAGCTCGCATGTTTGCCATTCTTTCCACCTCTGAGAATTTCACAAAGCATGGGGATTTTCTACAGGTTAAATCCAATGTCTCCTGTGAGAGGAAAACAACAGGATAAAATGCAGTCAGCAGCAAGATGGGGAACAATGGAAGTCAGGCAAATTCTCAGGATGGCTTTTAATAGTCTAGTTAATCTGATGCACTATGCAATACAGTAAATGTCACCTGAAGAAGTCATAAAATTAACATGCCTTATTTGAGGAAAAGGAACATGAATGAAAATAAAATGCCTAGGCTTCAGAAAAATACCCACCCAAGGGCACGGTGATTCCTCGTAAGGAAAGCTGCCACCAGCTTTCTTACCAAAACGCAAGAAATCCCCCGATAAACGGAAATTTTGTTCTGCCTTTCCCATTAACAAGCATTACGCCAACAGGAACGGGGTTTCGCACTTTCAGCGCAATCTCCTTTCAGGACACGCAGCCGGCAGCCCGGAGTGAGGCTGCCCGTGAGGCAGGGGCGAGCTGCTGGCCCCGGCCGCCCTCCACCCCTGGCAGG